GGGCACGTCTCTGCCCTTTGTGCTTCTAAAACCGCCAGCTGCTCCCAGTTTGTGCGCTTACGACCCTGCCGCTCCGGGTTTCCGTCCTGGGGGCTGCAGTTCGCAGGCGCGACCCCGCCGCTCCGGGTTTCCACCCCAGGTGCTGCCCTGGAGTCCTTTCCCCGCCGCTACTGGTCTGCGAGTCTGTGCCCCATCCCCAGAGTGCGAGGCTGTCGCTCACAGGCGGTGTGGGATCCCCACGGCCAGGCACCCTCCCGCTGCCGATTATCCTCAGATATCTGCCCACGGAATCACGGCTCCCTGCTTCGTACCTCAAAACCAACCACCTGCAATATTCTGTTTGTAGAGATCCAGATCTTCTTACATCTCAGGCTGGTTTTGTGGGTGCTCAGAGTGGTCTGGTAGATATCCAGCTCAATTCTGGGGACCCGTTGAAATAGGGTCCCCTACTCCTCTGCCATCTTTCCCCCGATCTATTGCTTTCTTTTCTTTTCTAAAAATATATAATATGGCATTTGGATGAAAATCGGTATTATTGAGTGTGAAATTGTCGAGCTATGAGTGTATTAATTTAGGTTGAAGGAACTAGTAAAGCCCAGTGATATGAAGAAAACAAATTCTTTTTCCCTAATACCAGGTGAAACACCTGAGGAGGCTGATGCTGAAATGCCCAAAATTTATGAGCCGATTGAATCTTTCGATCACCTAAAGGAGCGCTTGAATATGTTCCTGCAGCTGTATAATGAGAGCATCCGTGGCACTGGCATGGATTTGGTGTTCTTCGAGGACTCCATGGTTCACTTAGTCAAGGTCAGTGGCCATACCCTGTGACACCTCCCAGAGTGATGGACGCTTGGCTTCACACTAGAATTTTTTCCCTCCTCTTTCGTTTTCATCTCCTGGAAGAATATTCAGTTTGAAAATAAACTCAATGCCATATTCCAATTTAATTTCTAAACTGAATGCAACATGTCACACCTATAGGCTGAAAATCAGCTGAAATATCAGAGCATGGATACTTCAAATGTGTGATATAATTTTATTCAGTGTTGCTATATGGCTTCCAGCTCAGTGTTTTCACCACATAGAATGAATGTGGTTGACATCTGAGTTCAAAGCACAGGCAAAAAGTCTGCTTATTTTTTTGCATTATGCAAAAGAGAGCAGTAAAAAATAGTGCATAAACTTTGAAGACACTATGCTCAGTGAAAGAAACCAGTCACAAAAGGATAAATACTGTTATGATTCCACTTATTGGAGGTACTTAGTATAGTCAAAATCATAGAGACAGCAAGTAGAATAGTGATTGCCAGGGGCTTGGGGGTAGGGAGAATGCAGAGTGTTTAATGGTACAGAGTTTCATTTTTGCAAGATGAAAAGAGTTTTGGAGATAGTTGTTGGTCGCACAAAAATATAAATGTACTTAATGCCATTGAACTATGTGCTTAATAGTTAAGACGGTAAATTTTATGTTATATATATTTCACCACAGTTAGAAATGATAATTAAAAAAGAATGCATAAACAATTTTGAGCTGGATGAAAATTCTCTTAGAATTAAATCCACCAGGAAAGTACATTTTCCTTTCTACTTTGTCACAGGCGTCATTCCAGTATCTATTCATAGGAGAGTTGACTCTCAAAGGTTGGAAGTAAAATATATTATTTATTCGATAACTTATGTGATCTAATTTCTCTGTGGTGGAAGATAATGCCATTTTAAATATGTTGTTGATATTCTCACTCTGTTGATGTCAGTTACTTTTTCAGACTACATCCTTTTAGTTAGAAAGAGGATAGCTCGAGGCTGTATTCCATTACTTAGGTTAAACCATAAGGAAAAATCTCATAATTATAAATTGTCACCTCTGATAATTACTGAATCTAGAGTTCATCTAGTTGACCCTCCCTTTGAAAGTAGAAGAGGGTGGGGAAGGCTGGAGTATGTCAGGGAGGAGGAGGAAGACAGAGTGGCCATTTTAGGTTGAGTGTCCCCCACCTGAGGGCATATAGCTTGGACATTCTGAATTCTCAGAGTCTGAGACATCTGTACTGAATTGTGAGCAAAAATGTCCTTCCAAATATAAATAATGACAGCAATTCTGTCATACTTACTGATTAAAAAGAAGAAGAATGAAAGAAAATAAATAATACCAAAGGCAACTTTATAACTAATGTCTTTTGGAGACAAAATCTGATATGCCTAGGATTTCCTAGGGCTCAGATTGAAGATGAGACTATTTGTGTAGGTCTTATGTTTGAGCTAGTTTTCTAGAACTCTCTCATTTCTATGTTTCATGCACAGACGATGAACGATGACCATTTCTTCACAATGTGGGGACTTGACATTTGAGGCTCGTGTGACTTAGCATAGGGTCTTTGACTATTTTCCCTCAATTTCCCTCTCAGCCTCTTGTGTCTGCTTTGGAATTGGCTGAAGAATTCGTGACTGGAGTTTTTGAGCTAAGATATAAGATATAAGCTAGGATATAAGATATCCTAGGCAGACCTTCTCTTCTACTCTCTTGCTTCCTGGGGACAGTACATCCAAACTGTGTTGTGTGGATGTGAACCTTGAAATGTGTGACTTAGTCATAAGACATGATAAAAGTCAAGAGACAGAATTAAGATGAAATTAAGATGAAAACTGCAGCAAAACAAGTTGTGATATGAGACCAGACGTATTTCTTGATTCTCTTCTTCATTAAGATAAAGATTTTCTTTCAAAACACAGAGAGTATCTCTGTGATAGTTCTTTTGCCTCTTTGGTAAAGAATCAGACCATGGTGTGTATGATTTCTCATGGTCTAACCCCTGCATAACACTCTAGCCTGTGGCTTGTGCTCTGCTTAGCATGTAATCCAGACAAATCAGCTACCCACGATGAAACATACCCTGCTTCCAGAGCACTTCACCCCTATGCCTTCCCAGCAAATGTTGCCTCATGTGGAATTTATTAATGTGTGTGTTTGTTTTCCCTTCTGGGCAATAAGCTCTGTGAGCGTGGGCATCCAATTTATTCACCTCCGTATTCACAGGATGGAGAATAGGCACACTTGAGATACTTGATAAATAGGTTTGGAATTTAACCCAGGGCCCAGTGTGGCCCAAAATTACCCTTTGCTGCCTCATCTCCTGATATTTCTGTACCTAGTACTGAAGTTACCCCTCTATAGGGATACCTCAGGCCTTTTGTTGACTCCGAGACTTCCTGCATCTCATTTCCTCTCTTTTTTTTTTTTTTAAAGATTTCATTTATTTATTTGACAGAGAGAGACACAGCGAGAGAGGGAACACAAGCAGGGGGAGTGGGAGAGGGAGAAGCAGGCTTCCCGTCTAGCAGAGAGCCTGATGCGGGGTTCGATCCCAGGACTCTGGGATCATGACCTGAGCCGAAGGCAGACACTTAACGACTGAGCCACCCAGGCACCCCTCATTTCCTCTTCTTAAAATGTAGCTCTGCTCCTGACTGGCATGTCCCCTTCTTTGTATGAGAGACTTTAGTTATCTTTCAAGATCCAGATCACACTCCAGCTCCACAACTAAGACTTGCCTCTACCCAGCAGCACTGTTTCCTTCACTACCATTCTTACCTGTTTCTGCATTCGCCATGGAATGTGTATCCCCACATTTCTGTTAATAGGTCTCTCTCCTCTGCTAGCATGTGAGCACCTGTGGGGCAGGATGGGCATTATTAATTTTTAAAATATTTGCTAAAGGGATTGAAAAATGAATATTTCTATCTCACAATCTGTGTAGAGTAAGACAAAAAAGTCCCATTTAAAGGTATTACTTGATTGTGTTTTCTCATTTAATTTCTATTTGTAATTAGACTATGAGTTTTTGAGTCTCTTTTAAGCCCTTCTGCTTGCTTGTTCACGTCTATGTTCATTTGTAGTATATGGTTTGTTTACCATGTGCTAGAAACTAGGAACGGAAAATTTTAATATAAGACCTAGGCCTAGTTTCAGGAAAAGATGTTGGTGAACCTAATTAATTAACAACAATTATTTAAACCCTTAATATATTCACCAACACCAATGAAAGGAAATGGTTATGACAAAAACTGTGTATTTTGAAAAATGTTAACCAAGGAAAGACACCGAAGATTCTAGTGTGGTTTTCGGTAGCTCCTTACCTGCCATATCTGTGCCTCTTGAAGGAATATCAGGGAAATAATATGAATAGACATTGGCAAATCATTCTTGCCAGTACCATTCCTTCCCTGCCTACAACAACTTTGGAGAGAATCGTGGGCAGGGTGAGTAGGGGCCTGGAAAGATGGGTGTGTCCCTCACCTATTCTGAGGGCTCTCAGATCCACAGCAGAGACAAGAAAATGGTCTTCATTTCCCAGGCTCACACTAAATTGGGGGGAATAATCTAAAAGACAAGAGTAGTCCCAACACTTTATTATACCTCAATAAGAAGAAAACAAGAGTAGTCCCAACAGGGTAAGTATTGCCCCTGCCAGATGAGGTAATCCTGAGAAAGGATGTTTAGCAATACACTGGCAGGATAAGAGCCCAGGTCACCCCAGGAGGCTTCCACCAGCTGCAGAGAAGTGATCCTTCTCAGCCCTGTCTCACTCTCTGTTATTATTCTATAGAAAAGTGGATCACAGTAATTCCCCAGGCTCAAACTGCCATTAGGAGGGAAAGAGAAAGAGTTACCATACTCCATGGAGTATGGAGAAGAAAGCATCAAGGAGAATCCTACACTGAATCCCCTCTAGGTGGGTGTTGGAAGCCAGGTGGTAGAAGCAGTTCATCAATAACAATAAAGCTAAAGAAACATGGACTTCTACCACAAGGGGGACTTGAATTAGTCTGGGACTACTGACTGGCCCACCCATATTTACTTCTTGGTCGATTCCTTAGGTCTCACTGACTGTGCCAAATAATAGGAGGGTGTTTATGTTTGTTTTCTTCCTTCTGCTCCTCTTCCTCCTCCTCTTCTTTTTAAAAATTCCATCACCTGTACCACATTTTGGGAATTTCCTTCTCTTCGATTTAAACTCTCTGTCATTTTTCAAATGTAGAGGATATTCTAATCAACTGTGTGTTCTGTATTCCAAGGATACACGTTGTCTTGAAATTTCAGTCTCTTTCCTGTCCCACTGCATTAGGTTGGGAGACTAAAAGGAAACCTCCTCATCCCCTTTATTCTCTCCTTTAAAACCCAGAGCAGGCCATAGGGGTAGTTTGGGTTGACATTTCGGTACTGGTCTCTTCAAGTTTCCCCAAAGCACCCCCCAACACACACCCTCTTCAAACATCATTCTCTTTCAGAAATACCCTCCTTCGTCCAGCCAGTGTATCTCTCCATGCTGATCCTGAGACACTTACGTCTTCCCAAATGCTTACAGTGCATAAATAGGAAAAAATGGAATATTTTCACATTGGACAATGATATGTGCCTTTTCTCTTCCATATTCTAGATCTCACGTGTCATTGGCACACCCCGGGGAAATGCCCTCCTGGTTGGAGTGGGGGGATCAGGAAAACAGAGCCTGACAAGGTTGGCTTCGTTCATTGCTGGCTATTCTTCCTTCCAGATCACTCTGACAAGGTAACACGCTTTCGCTTTAATTAACCTGAAGTGGATTTTGATAGCAGGTTTTCAGAGGCCACTTGAACTTAATGCATTTATATTATACATAAGGAATCAATCATTTCCTTCCTAAATGTAGACTTATCATCGTCCCCTTTCAACCTTTATTATAGATCAGGAAGTTTTCACATTAATAATTTGCTTTTGAAGTATTTCAGCCTCTTATAATAGTGAATAGCTGCCTCCCTGTTTTTATGTTATGCATGCCATGTGTATTCTATGTATTCCTCTTGGTGTATTTCAGAAGAAATTTATCCCTACTACATGTTAGTTCAGATTTCAAGAATGTTAATGAACTAGTAAAGTAGATGAAAACTTTATATTGATTAACTCATACATTTAGAAATATTTATGGAACACTGGCTATGTGTCAGGCACTGGCTAGGTGCTGGGGAGTTCATGCTGAGCAAGGTAAACCTGGCTTGTGTCATCACAGAGCTTCTAATAGTCAAGGGGGTCAGACAGTGGAGCAATTCATTCAGGAAGGTGTCATATGTAGGTGCTGTTTGCTGGAAGAAAATAAATGAAGACCAACCAGCTCCTGTTGTAACATGAGGGAGGGACTCCTAACCTAGTCTGGGGGATGGTCAGAAAAGGCTTCCTGGAGGAAAAGATGTTTAAACTGAGACCTGAGTACAAATAGGAATTATCTCAGAAAAGAGGTGAGGTGAAGAGTGTTCCAGGCAAAAGGGTCAGTACCTGTGAAGTCTCATTGAGGCCTGGAAGAAGTTCAATATGGCGGGCGGTGCAGCGTGAGATAGCAAGTGGGAAAGGAATAGAAATGGAGGTCTTTGAAGGTATGATAAGGAATTTGGACTTTATCCTAAAGCAACAGGAGACCATTAATGAATTACTGCTAGGGAGGGCCTGTGGGTTTGTATGTACAGAAAACGGATGGAAGGAGCTCAACGGAAACAGTTATAAGGCTGTCTCAGGGATCTAGGCAAGAGATGATGGGTCAGGAGTGGGAGCAGTGAGAATGGAGAAAAAAGGATAGACTCAGGATCACTGGAAAGTTGAACTTTTGGACTTGGTCCATCCTAGTTCTGGCTTGGGAAGCTGGCCGCCTGAAGCATACACTCATCAAGGTAGGGAACCCCGGGAGGGTCATCCTTGGTCATATATGTGTAGTGAGGGTGGAACTAGGAAGTGAAGAGTCAGCATGGAGAGATACGCAGGGGTGATTCAGAGGGGCTGAATAGAATTTCAGGATTAACCAAGATGAGAGGTAAGAGGCCAATTTGGGAACTTTAGTTGGGCTGAGAATTATTAGAGGTTAACTTGTAGGTGTGGGAGAAGGAAGTCTTGCCTGTTGGCCATGCTCTAGAGCTTTGGCTTGGCCCAGTTGGGCAAAGCATCCCTCCATCTCTTCCTGATGGAGGCCCATAGATACCTGCTAGGACAGCGATTGAAAATTATTAAATCTGGGTTTAAGATCCAGGTATTCGAGTTGTTGTCAGGCTTTTCATTTGGTCCGAATTATAGGCTTTTGCTTGGAGAGTAAATCCAAAAGGTTGCTGTTTGTTTTTCAAGTACTAGGACAGAGAGAAATAATTACCTTGTGTATAATTCTTCTAGTTTGTGGATAGCAGTAGAGTTAGGTAAAAGATAACTTATACAGGAAAGAGACTGGACTCTGAGATTTTTGTTCCTAATATTTTTATAAAGCCTTATAATTTTCTTTTCTTTTTTTTTTTTTTAAAGATTTTATTTATTTATTTG